GGTCGGTACGGTAACGCAACGGTCGGTACGGTAACGCAACGGTCGGTACGGTAAAGCAACGACCGGTACGGTAAACCGAGTCAAACTCACAGGAAACCGGCTGGGTGGTAATGATCAGTTCCCTAATTGTGAATAAAAAAGATGTTTCCATTTCATTAATGTCTTGTTTTTGCATGTCCAAATTTCATTTCAAGTCGAACTTGACCTGATGAGTTTTTTGAAAGAGAGATTGTTTAAGACAAAGTGGTAGTCTCAGTTTATTGTAATTGTGAATTTTAATAATTAAAATAATAAAAGTAATTATTTTACTTTTATTTTTTCTGTATTTTTTGCAAAACCTTTGATAACGAACTGTATTCAATGGGAAATTATGTTCATTTGATCCAAATACACACTACACTATGGTTCAAAGAAATATGTAAAATCTCACATTCAACCAATAAATTTGATTTTGGGGATTTAGATTTTAACCTGGGATCCCCACAAAATCACTCCTGTTAGAGGTCACACTGATCCCATACAATGAGTTCGATGCATATAAAATGCCTACAACTGGTGCTACAAATAGGTACTGCTAGTATGAGAAAAAGTTTTTTTGACTCCTGTTTAAGATACTATTTCATTTTCTCTTATTGCAGATGCTAGAACAAGAAAGGTACGAGTTGAAGTTAAGGCTCGAAAGTATCGAAGGTCAATTTGACGGCAAAGTAATGGACATGCAGAGTGAAGTCAGAACTCTGCAGGAAAAATTAACAGATCAACAACAATCGCTGAAAGTTGCAGAGAAGGAAAAACAAGATATGGTTCGAGAGTTATCAGAACAGAATCAAAGATTATCGTCACAGTTACACCAGGTAGGTCATCATTTACTGGGAACGTAACAAATGTGGCAGTTAGATCTAGTTATATGTGGTTTATAGTTAGGACGTATTGTCTTTAACGCTTTTAATGTCAAAGTCAACTCTCTACACCTTACACAAAATAAACAGCATAAATATTCCATATTTGTTAATGTCCATTTGGTCCAAAATGAACAAAAAAATTATAGATAATATTTGTATTAATAAATAAATGTATATGTATATACAATTTTTATAGATATCTGAAGATTCATGCCTACATCCAAAAATTACTGAGTTTTTCATCTGAAATGTTCGTTATTCGAAATTGAGCTATAAAAAAGAAAAAGAAATTCAAGTTACAAATCAAATCATTCAGTTTTTGCAGCAAATTTTCAGTCCATGTCTTTATACACAAGGCAGTGAATAGGAATGAATAGCACTATTGGGACACCAGACTTTGTTTTGTTGTCTGTAACAGCCATTAGGTTTGTCCAATCAGAATTTGTACGACTACGCTTTTATGTTAGGACTATAAACATCAAACACTGCATAGCTTTGAGGTTAGGTGTGCATCCGAATTGTGTACATCTGTGCATAACAGTTAGGATAGTCTGGCCCTGCCATATGAAAAAAGACTAGAGAGACTGAAAAATAGTTTTACCCTGGATGAAATTTTAATGCAAGAGATTACAAATGTATAGATGTGGATAATTAGGTTGCCCTAATTAAAATGAAATAATATATTGTAATTTACTTCATAATTGTTACATGCTTTCAATGATATATAGAAAATAATACAAAATACTAATTAAATCGTGATTTAGTGAATATATACTTTGTGATGGTGTGCATTCTTCTGAGGGATACCGTAATTGTTTTATTAGTAGCGTTCATGCTTACTTGTAAACATATGAAAAAGGTGTGTCTATGGTCGAAATAATTCATGTTTTACATGTCCAGTATATAGTACAATTTGTTATTTATGTGTGGAAATCAACATCTAATAGAAGAAATACAGTGTATATTGTAGTATGTTACCAGTTGTCACATAAGTCATGATAGGCAAACAAATGCATGTGCTGTTTTGCCATACTTATTGAATATTTTGTTTTGTGTTCTTCATTTGATCTGCAGGCTTCCCTTGCAGAAGAAGAACTAACCGAACAAATGCAAAAGCTGCAGATGAAACTGACTGATAACAAAAGCTCTATGTCTAGCAATACACATGTATTAGATAGACTTAGAGAAGAGGTGAGGAGGAATGATATTGAATTATACATGTTGTACTGCAAGGGAAAATATTCCCAGGGTTTCAACCCTCAACTGGGCAAGTCAATGTAAAAGTACATGGAGCTGGCAGGTTAAAGGTTAATTTTATCCGGTTTGAGGTTTTACTAATTCTCATTTGATTTGTGATGGAAAAAATACATTCTCTATTTAAGGCAGTGTGAGCCAAATTCAAATTTTGCTCTACTGAGCATGTAACTGCACATATATGCAAAGCATTATGGGAGATAACTTCAAATTTTGCTCTACTGAGCATGTAACTGCACATATATGCAATGCATTATGGGAGATAACTTCAAATTTTGCTCTACTGAACATGTAACTGCACATATATGCAATGCATTATGGGAGAGAACCTCCCATGGTATATAATGGAAATCTATTATTACCGTGGTAACTAAATTATATGCCATTTTGTTTTCACAATATTAGGATTCATACTGATACTCAGTAATTACATACGACTTTTTTATCCAGTGTTACCAAGCAAATTTGAGATATGAATAAATAATCTCACCATAGATACCAGTGTAAAAATGACAATTTTGACCATTTTCTTTGACATTTTCGACTTTTGTATCTCAGAAAATTGTCTGTTTTGTTTTTTTCATTTTCGGTATCTTTTTGGTATGAACTCATAACGATGAAAATATGACAAACATCTAATTTTTAAATCGGTTTAAAGTTCCTTAAAAGATGGTAGTCTTCTTACAGTATGCGTTTGAATTTTGTGTAATGTAATAAATAATGTAATTACATTTGTTGTGTTACGCTTACTGACCGCTGCCCTTTCACTTGGCATATCGTCTGGGTTTTAATTTAGTGCATTTCCCAGTTGATAATTAAGCTTTAGACAGTATTGGATTGACAGGTAATATAAAAACAATAAATTTTTTAATCACATGCTCTCATTTTTGCTGTTTGTTGATTGGCTTATTTCATCTCAAGATTGTTCCCGGGGTCGTTTATTTTGAAATATAGTCGTACGTTCTTTATAGGATCAATTAATAGGCCAACTTAACTAAATATTTGTTGACATTTTGATTTCTTTTAAACTATCGTATAATCTCTTGTTTAGGCGTCACTCTAATTTAGGCGTCAGGGAAGATTAAAAGGCCTTAATTTGGTTCTAAAATAGGCGTCACGAAATATTGAAAAATTACAGACAATCAACAAATTTTTTTGATGATGACAATAAACACTCAATTATTTTTTTAATTTTGTTAGTAATGAAATTGCATTGCTTAGTAGCAAATGATCATGTGCAATCCATGCTGCGTTTCACAAAGGAATAACTTGTTTGCTTCGAAGTGTTGCAATTGTTATTACTCAGCAGTGATTAAAAATAAATTGTTGTGAAATGCAAGTAAAATTCATCTTAGTTTCATCATAAGTGATTGATTTTGATTGCATGTAAAGGCTTGATGCGATACGATAATCGCCATGTTTTTTTTTCTATGCATGAGTTGACCTGAACCTGTGTTCTTTGATCTGATAGGTCAAGTCGCTAATTAACCAGTCAAAATACTGGATTGTGCCGATGTTTTCAAATTACCATAGCTCATTTAAACATGTTAATGAAAGTTCAGCAACCGGATGGCAAACACAGCATAGAAGAGATTTACCTATGTTGTAGTACGATCTTTTTGGCTTTCATTTTGATGAGAAAACAATATAATTTTTGTTATACATGTACCAACAAATTAGTTGATTTTGAAAGATAAACTTAAGAAGCATTGTTGAAAATAAATTTACCCATTCATGCTGGCCACATCAGACTCTTGAATAGGCATCAATGACTATGGAAAATCTGAATTCTCAGGAGACTCTAATTTAATCGTGAGAAAAAATTTAAATGTTCAAAAAATGACGCCTAAACAAAAGATTGTACGGTACTATACTTTTCTGATGCGCCTATGAAAGATAAGTTATTTTATTATTTACCATCTTATTCGATAACACTTAAATTTCATTATTTGTATATTCCAGATTCAGTTGCTGACAGACAGGAAGTGCGAGTTGGAAAAACGTTTGAATGCCGTGGTTGAAGAAAGAGATGCTTTGGAGAACAATTTGGAAGAAACTAATGATAGAGTCATGATGTTAGATAGGCAACTTAGAGAAACACAAATACAGGTACTAATGTTAAGTATTGACAACTGTGTTTGGGGTTTTTAGGTTTTATTTACCATTCATAATTATGATTATCAAATTGTGAGGGAATTCATGACACATAAAATCTGTTCTGAAGATAAAATGTGTGGCTGTACATCATGCAATGCACATTGTAGCTTTCTCGTTTATAAATTTTACTCTCCGTTCATCTGTTGTGTCAGTCCCCGTTTATGCATGTTGGTTCTGCCCTCCTATGCTTTGTCTGAATTTCTAAAATTTGTTATGATGTTGAGACACAATTATTGACATAAGTACGTAAGTTTGCGGCCATGTTGCTCTTAATAAAACCTTGGAATAGCAATTACATTTACCGGTAGTGCTTTACTGATTAATATTGTTTATTCAAAATTTGTGTTTTTTTCTCAAACAAAGCGTAAACAATACGTAAGCTATAATGGTCAAAAATACATTGATAAAATACTGATGGTAGTAATTTGAATAAAATAATGGACGGAAAAGCTTATATTTTGCTTGAGTGAAAAATAAAAAGACATTTAATTTAAAATACAGAAACAAAAGGTACTGGTCTGGTGGTAAAAAATGTTAAACTGATGAAAAATGATGGGGGGAATTTTGAGAGGACATTTTATTTACGGTACTGACACAATAATTTAAATTGTTTTTAAAGGTCTTTAATAAAGATTCTGAAATTGATGAGCTTCGTACTATGAACAGCCATTTACAAGACAGGGTTGAGGAACTATCCCAGCAGACCTTGCACCAACACACGGATAGTCCCTCTTTATTTGATGAACTGGCTCAGCATACCGATAGCCCTTCTTTGTTTGAAGAACTGGATGACCAACAATTCACCATGGATACGACAGATATTGCTTCGATGTCAACTCATCAAAGGTACAGCATTGATGATATTGAAAGTGATGAAGAATATGATGATGTTGTCATGGCGATGAGCCAAGGACCAACTGAAACACCGGTGGACTTTGAAACAGAGCAGCTTCAAGCCATAAACCAAGAGGTATTTAAGTTTTTATTATTCTGATCAATGTTTGTTTGTTTGATTGTAGTCCCACACATCCCAATTACCTCTGTCATTTTTTGTTTATAATGAGAATAAATTTGATGTATTATTCAGATGAAACTTAATATTGAAGAATCGTGCCAACATTTGAGAGAAATACTGAAAGATCTGAAACAACATTTTGTTGTCATCATATGTGGTGTCGAAGATGACACGAACCCATCAGCAAAGAGGGCCAAAACAAGTGATAAATATGATAATGAGGAAGAAGCTGATGAGAATGAGACAGAGGAATTGAGAGACATTATTCAACAGATACAGTCCATAGTTCACCAAGTAATGCAAAAACAGTTAATGTTATCGGTGAGTAATACACGTATCTGCAGATAAGGATTATGGAAAAAGTAAGTCATTTTTGTGTGTACGCCCATGATAGTAGATGACAGTTTATGTGATGTTTTAATTTTCCACTGTCCCTAAAATCACATACCATCTGTTCAACAATTTTCGTTTTCATTAATTAAAGCCTGAATTAGAGTGGAACCATTGGTCCTAGAAAGCAATTTGAGGTGAACATAATTTTAGAGAACTAAAAACAGCACAATTTCATTATCCGGTGGTTGAATTTTTAGAGTATGTGAAATTTTGGAGATTTTACAGTGATTTTGAGAGGACTTACATAGATTATAGGAGTGATATAGATTATGGGAGTTTCTACAACAATATGCAGTGTAAATATTAAACTAACCTTTGCATCACCAGTTCTTTCTTTTCGTCACAAATTCACAAAATAGTCTGCACATTACTTCAGAAGATTGGGACAAAAATAGCCAAATTTTTGTAGTAAAAACTGAAAATTGAATCAAATTTTGTCTGTTTACTCCAAAATTAGGGTTCATTTCCAGAAAAATTGAAGAATATAAGAAAAAAGTGTAGAAAAATTTGGAGAGGAAGATTTGGGTGGTGAAAAGGTTAAACTGTTCACTGTGAAATTATTCAGGATTTTTTTTATTTTCATCTCAACCTTACTGACATAAATTCAGGGTGGATATATTGCTTTAATGACTTAACTTCTTCCTTCTTGTCAGTAAAGAGAACACCTTTGTTTTTGTTTTGTTCAGACTGCCAGTTCTCTCAGTGGTTACAGCATGCAGAAAACCAAATCTGATTTGGCGGAGCTGGAGAGTAAAATACAGTTTTTGGAGGTCAATTTACAGAGCACACAGGATCACATGGAGAAACTGAAAACCAAAATAAACCAACAAAATGGTGAATTACAAAGAAAAACTGATGAACTTGAAGTGATGTCCTGTAAGGTAGGATTGAATTAGAAATCTGTTATGTATCACATTGTGTTCAACCAAGATGGTTTGATTTTACTCAGACATTCCAGGAGACACTCTCCAACCTTCTCGCCACCAGTTCTCTCTTTTCATCACAAATTTACAAAATAGTCCTGTTTATAGTCTGCACTTTCCTTCAGAAGATTGGGACAAAAATAGCCAAATTTTTTTTGAGTAAAAACTGAAAGTTGACACAAATTTGTTGTTGATCAAGAAACTATTTAAATTTTGTCCAAGAGAAACAAAAAAAAATATACAAAATAAGTATAACGTTTAAGTGGGAAAATTTATGGTGTTCAAATGGTTAACCTTTTCATCACCAGATCCTTCTTCATCACAAAATAGTTCCGTTTATAGTCTGCACTTTCCTTCAGACAATTGGTACAAAAATAACATTTCTTGAGTAAAAACCTAAAATTGACAAAAATTTTGTCTGTTGGCTCCAAAATTATTGAAGAATATAAAAAAAAAGTGCAGACAAATTTGGGCGATAAAGTCTGGTGGTGGAAAGGCTAAATGCTGTCAACATGTGAAATATTTGTGGTAATATCTTCATAAAATTACCATTACCATATGCGATTATGTAATCTTTATATTTCTAAGGGAACTGATCATTACCACCAAGCCGGTTTCCTGTGAGTCTCCTGCGGCATGCGTTTCTTTACCGTACCGGCCGCTGCTTTACCGTACCGGCCGCTGCTTTACCGTACCGGCCGCTGCTTTACCGTACCCGAAGGTCATTAGCCGTACCGGCAAGGCCGTTACCG